AAATCTACTATCCTACTCCCGCAATACATCCACTTCATAAAGCACTCCCTTCTCAATAAGCATACAATTGTTTGGAAACATTTCACTTAATAGAGAATTTTTGATAAAAATACTTGTCCAAACATGAATTTCACTCAATTTTTCTTTGGCATTTGCATTTTTTTTTTTAATGAAACGGAACCAACATTTGTTACGTATGAGTGTACTACGTATCCGTATGAATTTAAAAAAAATTACATATAATAACATACTGATGAGAGATAAGATTTGAATTCTTAACCTCTTGTCCCGTCAAAACTTAGAATCTTTGACGGGGGCAACCGCCTAAAGGTCCAATGGTGCAGTGGAATACTGTTGTTGCTTTAGGCTTTCATGTGCTTTTGGGATAATGGAGACCATACTGCAGGGAATGCCACTATGGTGCGGAAAAGGAATTTGGTCCTTCATGGGGAGAAAAAGTTTGGACCTAACACGTATTGATGGGAAGAAAATAGTGACGCAAATGATTGGACTGCAGAGGATATTATGTCGACCGGAAACCGGGCAACAAGGTTAAAGCTTCTGTACGTTTATTAGGTTGGTGATGGTGAGGGGTAGGTGAATGTTGAGGTTAGGCGGATGATGGTAGGATGGTAGGTAAAAAGGGCCGATGAAATGAATAAAAAGAAATGGGGTGGACACAAGGGCAACGCAGCCAATTTCTCTTGCACTGCGACCACGGGACACGTATTTAACGTCGGCCCCGGTGATGCTTACTAAATTAAACAGCAAATTCCCGGTTCCCCAACCAAAGTTTTGGATAAAATGGCTAATTATGAAAATAGTTTTTCATTATTGCACTTAAAGCATTTTAATCATTAAATCTATATTGTGCAACGTTTTTTTTTTTGCATCATATTTAGTTTTTAAATTTTTAGACAACAAATAGAATAAATTGTTGAATGTGATTCACAATCTTATTAAATAGCATGTAACACAAGAAATCATATACTTTAGTTAAACAACTTTATCTTTTTCTAGTTACAATTGTATTTTCTATGACTTTGTATGGATTAAGTGTTTTTCAAAAAATTTTACTATAGCGGTGTAAATAAAAATTTTACTGCACATAGACAAGTGTTTTTTGTAAGGTATTTTTTAAAATTTTTTGAGGTATTTTTAAAAAATTTAAAACTACCACTACCACTATGTCCATTCATTCCCTCTTCTTCCTCCTGCTCTTTTCCTCTTCTCTTTCTGCCTCCTCCCTCTTCCTCTTTCTCCCCCTTCCTTCTCTCCTCCCTTCTCACACCTCCTCTCTTCCCATGCTTTCCCCATCTGAATAAGATGGGAAAATTGTTTTGATGGAAAAACTAGAAAAAACAATTCCTGAAATGTCATACTGTGATTTCGAAAATATAATTATAGCAGATTAATAACATGAGTGTGAAAAAGAAGGGAAATCATGAAAAACAATGATTTGATACTTCCAACTGAACAAAACCTACATTGTGTTTCAAGGTTTACGCCAGCCAAAACGATATACTACACATCTAAATGATTCAACTAGCAAACAACTTATGCTATACATCTAACAAATCCAACGAACAACTTATATTGTACATCTAAATGATCCAACGAACAATTTCATCAACTATATGGAGATCATTCCGTATGAAATATGAATACTTTCTCTTGATTATAGTCTATTCAATTGAATTAGAAGAGATCAGATAAGGCCTCCTGGACATATTTGAGATTTTCCTATGTTATTTACTCATCTGAGGTTCAGTAGGGCACAAAGAATCCACCTCATCAGTCCAGCAATGCATATAAAGTGGAGGATCTATCCCAAAAACTTATCTCCATTTCATTATGAGTATTAGGGTAAGAGAAGGGATAGGAGGGGAGGGGAGAAGGATAGAGGGGAAAGAGAGAGGAGTGAGGATGGTGGTGGGTAGAAGAAGAAAATGTGGTAGGATTTAATTTTTATTTTTTTTTACTTCTTTTGGTATTTTTGTAAGTTGTCTTTGAAATTATATGTATTTTTGAGTGTTATTGTAGACGCCAAATACAAAAATAGTTTTGATAAAAGTCTAAATCCATACAGAGCCTATATCTATTTATAGTAGTGATAAGGCACATGTGATGTGTGTGCAATTTAGGAATCACCTTTTGTATGAAAAATTTTAGTATAAATTTTTCATAAACAAAAAAAATGATCTTTTAAAAGTTTTTTTAATATAATTTTAATTAATTCAATGGTTACAATGTTTGTAGGTGGTTATGGGTGAAAATCAGTTGCGATTGCACTGGTTGGCTACATAAGCAACACGCAATCAGATGATAAAGCTATGATAAAATGATCGTGAGGGTAAAGTTGAAAATTTAAAAGATGACAAAAAAGTTTACACAAAATCAATGCTCTTCCTTTATATATAATATAGACATGTTATTGGTGTTAATAAGCTTATATATAACATAATATTTCAATTTTTTGGTTCTCTAGTAAGATCCACAATTCTATGATTCTACCTACAATTTGATCCTACAACTTCCAAGATGACTGAAGATAGGATCATACCACTTTTGCATTTTATACCTTAGTATTAATTTTATCTCACTTTACCCCTAAACTGTTAGTTGAGTTTTACTTCGTTTGGGGAAAATATAAAAAAGACATTGATATCCCTGAGGGTTAATTATAGTAAATTCCCTTAAGGTAAAGTGCACTTTGCACTTTACCGCCTAATATTATTTTCTCTCTATTTGTTTGTTTGTTTCCAAAATCATTAGTCAACTTCGATATTTTGTACACGTTGGGGACAAAATACAAAACAAGCTATATTGTAATTAATAAAATTGCAACAATGGCAATATTATATGGGGAGTTATTGTAATTAGCCCTTTGGAAAATTGCTTTCTCTCTATATCCATCAATGCACACTAAATTTGCCATTTAAGTGAGAGTATAAATATACAAGTATTTGGAGCTTATTTCCAAAATAATACTCTTTTTTGAAGAAAAATACACCTAAATTGATTCAGTTTCTAATTTCTTATTTTCCACATGGACTTCCTATCAACCACGTAAGAAAAAAAGAAGAAGCATGCTTTGCTTCTATCTCCCCTTTGGATCTCTTCCCAATTTTCTTCTGTATCTTTCTACATTTTGTTTATCTTTTTCTTTTCATATCTTTTATTTTCCTTGACAAACTCATAACTATAAGAAACAAATGTTCACAATATTTAAAACTCGACCATAATTTGTATCGTAATATTTGACAGTTGAAGGTCTCTTCTTGTATACATAATGTCAAGGAAAGTTATTCTTTATTTTCTTTTATTGATCAACCTAATCTCGTGGCCTTTGGAAAATCTAGTATGATGATTATTAAATAAATTCCATACCATATGTTTAATGAATGTCAAGAACAAAAAGAACAAACCTCTACAAATTAATAACTTTAGAACCAGACAAATTCTATTAATTTAAAGAAATATTAATTAATTGATAATTTAATAATTTATTGATTGTATCTGCAATTTAATTTATTAATTTATCGATTGTATCTACAATTTAAAGAAACATTCATTTAATTAACAAACATTTTATTTTATTTTATAGAAATATAAATTATTCTATTAATAAAAGGAAGTTAAATTCTAGGGAATATGCACGTATGTAACTGATATCCTTTTCCAAAATTCTTTTTGTGAAAGAAATGCCCTTATAAAAATTAAATGATCCTTTAGATGAAGAAGACGATAATCAATGATTTAGGTTACCATAATAAAATGAATGCAAATTACCTATTGGATTATCAGGGTGAAAATGATATAAGTTTAGAGGTCTCAAGTTTAAAAGAAATTGTTGCTAACAATTTTGTTAATGATGAAGCTAATGATGATAAAGTCAGGAAGCACTCAAACCATCTAACAGAGATTATTAATTTATTAAATATTAATTTATAGAGATTTTGCTATATATATCATTTCTAATATCAATATTTAAGCATTTCAATTTCATTGCATTATAGTCTCTTAATAATCTAATTGGATCGGTTGAGAAATTTGTATACACCTTTGATTGGGCATGGGCCAAAAATACTTTGGATAGGGTATTATTTGAAATATTATTTGGAATAATTACTGTAGCACTTTTTGTGATGTGATGTATATGAGATAAAAAAGTGATTGAAAATATAAAAAGATGAATTGAAAAATATGTTTATGATGCAAGCGAAATATTATTTAAAATAAATTTTGTATCCAAACACTCCCAGTACTACTACTAGAATGGTACATCCTGCTCCTTCTAGAGCTGCTTCTCGTGATGTGAATATTATATTTCAAATATACCCTCTTCCTTCTAGAGTATGCTTTCGTGACGTGATTATTATATTTCAAATATACCCTCTCCCTTCTAGATTCTATACTTTTCTTGATGTGACTGTTATATTTCAATTATAACCTCTCTCAATGGAGAAGGCTGCATACCACCGGCTCTCTCCGTTCCCCCTCATGTGATATCCTCGATGTCAACGTCGTCTGTTGTCTTCCTCCCGTTGTTTTTCCGCCTTCTAGAGCAAAATTCTCTTCCCAAGCCAAAGATGAACCCTAAGGGAAGCCGCATCGGCTTTGATTAGAATACGGCACCACGTTTTAGCTCACACATATCTTTCGTCTGAAGTCTGATTTGACCGGATTGTTGTGTTGTCACAAGCCGGCCAATGACGACAAAATGCGTTTGTAGTTTAGTATTATATACACAAGTATCTAAGCATGAACGACGGTCTTGCCGGCCATCATGTGGTAGGCATCGCGAAGGGTCCCTACAATAAAAAATACTGCACGACTCCGAAGTCCGAACAAAATCCATTTATTTCTTTCACCACCGATATTGATCGTACAGTAACTAATAATTAAATAAACAACCATCCGCTTATGTGTTTCCTTGGTGCGTGAGCAGTTTTGGGGGGGGTGGGGGGGTGGGGGGGGGGCTGAGGTATGCATCTTGTCCTTTGCTCGGTCCGTTCAATAAAAGCAAAGCTTTCCTCATCCCAAAAGCACAAACGCCATAAGAATAGAAGCTTATAGCCAACCATTTCCAAAATGGAGCACGGGAACTTTAAATCAATCTATGCTTGGTCATCGGTGGTAGCATCTCTCTGTTACTGCTATTTCATTCCTGCAAGAATCCCAAAAGGCTTCTTGAGGCTGGTTTCTCTCCTACCCGTCTTCTGTCACTTCACAGTTCTCCCTATGTACATACCCTCCGTCTTCTTCAGAGGAGTCTCATCACTCTTCATCACCTGGCTCGCCAACTCCAAGCTCCTCCTCTTTGCCTTTGGACAGGGTCCACTCGCCTGGGCCCAATCCCAGTCCCTCCACATCTTCATCGCCTCCGCCGCTCTCCCCATCAGAGCCAAGCGGGCAGATGACAGCAACCCATCCTCCTCCAAGAAAAAGGTGCCGTTTTTAAATTTAGGAACGGAGATCTTAGCCTTGTCCGTTTTATTAGCCCTGGCAGCTAAGTACAGAGAAACTGCACACCCGCTGGTTCTACAAGCAGACTACTGTTGCGTGATATTTCTTCTGGTGGATGTTCTGGTGGCGTTCTCGAGTTCCGTGGTCCGAGCCCTGGTGGGTCTGGAGCTGGAGCCGCCGTCCAATGCGCCCTACTCGTCGACTTCTCTGCAAGAATTCTGGGGAAAGCGGTGGAACCTCACCGTGACAAATACGCTACGGCTCTCGGTGTACAAGCCCGTCAGGTCAGTGTCGGCAGGTGTAGTGGGGAATCGCTGGGCCGCACTGCCAGCCTTTTTCGCCACTTTTTTAGTCTCCGGTCTGATGCACGAACTCATATACTATTATGTGTCACGTGCGAAGCCCTCGTGGGAAGTGACGTCGTTTTTCATCCTGCATGGAATCTGCGTCATGATTGAACTCGTAATTAAGAGGGGTTTGAAAGGAAAACGGGAGATGCCATGGTTTATTTCGGGCCCATTGACGATCGGGTTTGTGATTTTAACCAGTTTTTGGTTGTTCTTTCCTCCCCTGATGAAGTCCGGGGCTGATGAAATGATTCTTGAAGAGTTCAGATCTTTTTGTGAGTCTTGGAAGGGTAGGCTAGGGACCTTGTCTCCCAATATTCTGAGCCCCAAATTGAGTTAAGAGACGGGGAAGTCTTTGAAAATGGTCAGGTCCTCAAGAAAGATCTCCAACATTTCTGTCATAATAATCCAAACTTTATGGAATGGGACCTGATTAATGTGCATGTCCAGATTAATGTTTACTATGGATTGGATGTAGGCAATGTAGTTTTTTTTTTTCTCTTGTTATTTTGTTTTAATGAACTGTTGTTTATTTAACATGATCAGATTCAGGGGTTTTGTATTGCTCAACCATTTGATCTAACGGCCCATGAATCACAGCAGCACAAAAGGTGGCGAAGAGGGACCAAAATAACTGCCCCCTCTTCTTCTTCTTTTTTTTTTAAAAAAAAAAAAAAACCAAAAAGACAATAATGAATGAAACCCGTGTCCTTGAAAGGAAAAAAAATAAAAAGGAAACCTCAGGCCCGCCCATCAACAATTTGATGCAAAAAAAGGGCTGGGAGACCATTGGTGTCGTTTCACACAAAAAGCCACCAAACTTCTGAGTTCTGACTAACACTCTAACAGCTGTCGCTCCCCACCGATGCACCATCATTCCACATTATTAATTTATTACCAGACAGCAGGCGTTCAAATGACCAAAACGCCCTGCGAAACCCGGTCAAAATGCCGCATCTACCCACGCAATTAAGGTGACGAAATTGGATTGCTAATTCACAGTCCAATTGCAAAGTGGCTCTTTTGCGATGGGTTTATTTGGATGATTTATTTGAGATAATTATTATAACACTTTTTATGATGTGATATATATAAAATAAAAAAGTGATTGAAATTTGTGATATAAATTATTTTGTCTCGAATCATCTTAATCCAAACACACCTCTTGTTTCGTGCATCAAGAAATGACCTAAAGCTTGGGCGAAAAACGAGTCAATAATAATCACCGTGTGACCTTAAACCACATAATTTGAACAGCTTTTTGAAGAACGAGACGACATAATTTCATCCATAGTTGTCTTTTGACGTCCAAAAATTTGACACATCATAATTTTCATTAATGCTAATTAAAAGATGAGACGTCTAATCTCAATCGGTAATTAAATTAAGTTGCATTGCTCTAAATAAAACTGGAGGTAATCCATTGATGAATTTTTTAATCATTTTTTTTATCTTATATACATCAAATTATTATAATACATCTTTTTACTAAAAAGCTATAGAAAATAGCGATTCAAAAGTGTCACGTTCTTAAGGCTAATCCCTTTGTTTATTGATTAAAAAAAATCACGCAAATATTGATATGATATTTCCTATGTCCCAATTTTAAGGACGTTTATTGGGAGTGCAACTTTTTTTGGTACAGTGATATCATTATTAACAGTCAAGCCTTTGCTTCCAAATTTACCCCGTACAAGTACAATAGTTAGTTGCACTTTATGTTTTTCATGCAGTAATGTTTTTGTGGATCTTATCTTAATCAAATGCATCCCTTTGTATGTTAAAGACACGCACCATTATTGACCTTATAAAGTGAGAGTTAGTCGCACGTACTCCTCGAGCTTCTCTAAATGGATAATAAATAGCAGGTCCTACCAAATTTTTTTGGACTTTCTAGCACATGCACTGTGAGGGCAAGGAGGGAACGTTGGAAGAAAACTAGTACTAATATGACTTTAATTTTGGGACAATGAGAAAGGTGAAACATGACATTAACAATAGATGGAATTGAAGGAGCAAGAGAATATTCTACAACTATGCCGCTTATTAAGCACGACAGGTTGGACAAATTTTCTTTTTTTAAAAAAAATTGGGCTGCTGGCTGACAGCCTGTTGGGGGATTTTTTTTTTCTTTTAAAAAATTGAAGGCTGTCAGCCAAGCAGCAATGGTGCAAAAGAAAACAAGTCATAATGATTAGGTGGGAATGGGACGTAAACCCTCTTCCCCTCCTTTACACACAATAATGAAGCACATGACTTCAGATTTTTTTTTTCTGAAGGAACACATGGCTTCAGATTCAAGATCGTTGATTGCAGGGAAAAAGCTCTTAGCTCAATTATTCCATGTATAAACCTTTCCACATTTAAAGAAGCCAGTGGTTCCTAAGACAAACTTTACCACAAAGCTCAAGGTGAAGTGAAAGCCACTTCACTTTGCTGTAGTTTGGCGACAGAAAGGTGGAATATATTAATCCGGCATTAGTGCTTTAATCCTTGGCTTTGTCCTCGCCAATAATCATTCGGAATTGCCCGCTCCAATGGTGGGGAAAGGAAATCGGTAGTGGTTTAAGGTCTTCAGGGCATCTTTCTGATCTATTAATAGAAATTAAATTTACTCTTTATTGGTTTGTCAAAGTTATAGTAGTGTAAACCACAAATTACACAGGGCAAAAAATCCTACCAACCATTGACTATTTCTTGACCATCAAACTAATTTTGGTCCTAATTCAATTAACTAATCAGTAGACTAGACCCCCAGTCATTTTGTCAGATTTTGCTCTCAATTTACAAAATAAATCAAACATTTTGCAACTCACTTGTCAAAATTCAAGATCTAAACTCGAAGGTAAAAAATTTCAACGGCCACTAAACTATTTTATTTGTACACTTTTAACCACTCAATTATTTTTTTTATTCAAAATGTCCACTTAACTCACAAATGTGTATATTAGTGGCCATTCTGTCCAAATTCGGTGTTAATTCCAACAGTAATGTTTTGAACCAATTGAAGAAAAAGGAATGTTTTGAACCAATTACATAATCCATATGCTACAAGTAGAATGCGAAAGAATTCCCTGAATTCCCCCATATTTAAAGGTCAAGTTATTTTTCTTCTTACTGTCAATCGAAGTGGTTAGGTTGTTCTTCCTGCAAATACATCTCTAATTATATAGGAGTATCTAATTTGTTGACAATTCCAGTGCTAGATTCAATTGAGATTCGTTTTAGCGAGTTTTTGGTAGTTGATTGTACGGCTTGTACGCATGGCATCCGTGATTTCCTCGTTTGCTTTGCCGACTTTGCGATCATTTCTTCCCGTTAGATTAAATACAATACGAGTAGCTTGTCTGTGACACATTTTAAACATGAAAATTTTCACAAAATTGCTGTCTCTCTCGTTCTTTCCGTTAATGGATCGTGACCCACGATACGGGAGAGGAAATACGCATCGATTCAGCTACCTTCCCATTGGTTTCACTTTCCTCGCTTCAACCTTCCGGACCGGAAGTTTTTGGCTTTGTGCTTGGAACTGGGAGGAGCAAAGCAAACTTCAAGACATTTTATTGTTACTCCAAAATTAGCGACTCTGGTGACAGCTTCCTAACAATGTTGACGAGGAAAATAGTCCAATTATATATGCAAGAATAAAAGTCCCTAGTTTGGTATATAACACTGTCAGATGTTGATGGCAGGACTCTACCAGTGAAAGGTGCCCACATACATGCCGATTTTGAATAAAAAGAAAATATGACTATCTATAAATCTTTCTGACTTATTCATGTACAGAGGAAAATTAATGACAATAATAATAGATTATTAATGAAAAATTCTTACATTGTAATTTGAACAGCTATAAAATCTTCTTTTCAGATTTTCAAGTGTTCAAAAGGTGCACAATGGTGCCATTGTACCACATTCACACATTTTTTGGGACGATCTTTCAATGTTATTTGAAGAACTTTGTGACATTTTTTTATGACGCTTTTGGTTGACAAAGAAAAATTTTAGGTGTTTAATGACAGAGATTTTGAAGCAAAAGTGACTAGGTTTCTTTTTAGCGAGGATGCGAATGCAGATCGATTCTAATAGAAAACTTGTTAGTGTGAATTTGATATTTTTATATTTCATTGGTTTGTTTGGACAGTGAATTATTGTTAAAATTTATTTGTTTATATAATTAACATATTTTTTAATTATTTTTTATCTTACATATATTACATTAAAAAAGTGCTGCTACAATTTCATTTGAAAGATACAAACAATCCATTCTGATAAAATATCTTATAAGCTTGCAATTATCTAACCTGGATGAATGATGATGCAAGTATTATGCAACCTCACAACCACTCAATTACCTTGACACTTTAGACGCAGACAAAACCTAATTTGGATTGGTTTTATATATATATATATATATATATATATACACACACACGCAAACACACATCCCCTCCTCTATCAATTTATTACTAAGGTGGACTGAGCTTGTGGGGTGTTCACATGGCCACGCAAACAAGGGAAATTGCTCCAACGGTGAAGCCATTCCTATTTTGGCTCTTAAAAATAAGGTATAATTTTAGAAACATACAATTTCACTTAACTCTTCTCTAATATCAAAAATTACACTTATTAATTATATTTACTGTTTGGGTAACAAAATCTGTAAATAGACACAAAATTTCATTTGCAAATTTATTAGTAAGGTGGAGTGAAGTTTGCCTAGGATTGGCCTTAGAAATATTCATTTCGATTTCGCATTCGCTAGTGACTAAATTATCCAACCTAAAGTTTGAGATAAGCTGATTGAATGTTATTATATCATATGCTGATGGTGAAGAGTATTAATAAAGTTTAGGTGCAAGACGAACCAATTGGCTTGATTGGGCAACGTATTAATGACTAGTTGGTTTATAGATGAGTAGTTGATAGTGAGATTTTCTGAATATACCATGGACCTAGAGCAAATCTTCATATCAAGACATTGTCCTAACCTGATTAAACTGACATAATTAAGGTGGGACCTTTTGCCTTTAATGATTGAATCAGTAGTAATTGGACTTAGAGAATCTGATTATAATTCACTCAAGTTGACAATAGTGGCATGCATTAAGATAATATAGACTGATGCAATGAGCGCTGTCATCCAACTAATTGTAGTAGAAAATTGATGGGACGAAAGAAGATAGAACGGTAGAACCCCTCCAAACCGAATCTTCATTGTTCTATGCATGTTTGAGAGAGAGAGAGCATATTGCTTCTTGATTTCCGATGGCCCCAAAAGGGTTGGTGCCTTGATGGTGCAGCTTGCATAAGAAAGTTGAATCATCATGCATAATCCTCTATACATCCACTCAAAAGTCAAACGTCCTAGTTGAATCATCATGCATAATCCTCTTTCTTGGGGAAGGTCCAACTGCATAAGCATTTATTGGTTTTGAAGTAGTAGCAAATAAGCGTGTCGTGGGAGAAGAATCAGCCTGTACTCTTGATCCTTTATGGTCGAATTGCCAACAACCAATACATTAGATATCTTGCTTCTTTATGATCAAACTGCAAA